TCAATAGCTGATTGTTTACTAAAGATGGGTTGGTTATCAATGGAGATGATAAATGCATCATGGACTTTATTTTGTGTACTTCTCCAATTGGAGAACATGGATGCGGCACTTGATTTCTTTGTGATATCTTTCAGGAATGCATGGCCGTTGAGTTCATCCTCCTTGAGTTGGAAACCAAAGGTCAGACTGTCACATTTTAAACAAATTTCTTTGGTGACTATATTTTGAAATGGCAATATATAGAAACAGAGATCATTCTCACGGATTTTGGTACTAGTGTCAGGAGGGATTGTAAAGCCATTTTCAAAATGTTGTAAGTGAAAAATATTGGGTGAAATTTTGTGTATTGGTAAATCATTCATTCCTTTTGTCGTAGTGTGCATGAGAAGCAAATTTGACACAGTTTGTCTCAATATCATACCAAAGGATGTTCTTTGTAGTTTGAGGAAGTTATCCAAGGAAGATACCTTTTTGGGATTTTTTTTTAATTGTGTTGGCTGGTAAATCATTCATGCCCTCATTGAAGCGTGCATGTGAAGCAATTTTTACACAGTTTGTTTTGACATCATACCAAAGGATGTTCTTTGTGGTTTGGGGGAGATATCAAAGGAATATACCTTTCTGGGAATTATTTTTGAATTTTGCTGAACAATGTCAGGACAGGTGTACCCAAACTCGGCAACCAAATGTATTAAATTTTTGTAATTTTTTTTCTTTCCTGTAGCTAGTTGTAGAGGTGATTTAGTTTGTGTATGTTGAGGTAAAGCATTTAGAATTTGAAGAGAATGATGAAAAGCATAGGGCAAAAATTTAATTGGGAGATCAGCTCCAGAGAGGAGACATTGTATTTGGTCAACAATTTTACGATGAGCATGTTCAACAGGTCCATTTGGATGTGAGGAGTCGGCGCCTGTTGGAAGTATTTGGTATCCTTTCTGGGTGAAGAATTTTCTGACTTCTGGATTATGATATATTCACTGCCTTGGTCCATGTAGATGTATTTGTTGGTGCAATTTGGTGTGTTTATATCCAAAATATTTTGAAGCCAGGTAATTGGAGATGCCTTTGAGAGTCAAGTATTGCCAACTATATAACAGGTGAAGTGATCGGATATAAGGATCCAACTTGTCTTGTCGTTGACGCCTTCATAATCTTGTGAATGCAACGTATCTTTTGATTTTGTGCTACTAAAAGAGAAATTGATAGAGAGACCTTGATAGGGGATAGTGGCGGAGCACGTTGAATTTTGACCAGCAGGTTTTTGGTTTGTTTTGATTGAATGTGTCAATATGTAGGTATTGTAACAATGGTTGGTTGTAAGTGTGATGACGTATCAGATGTTGTGTCACTTTTGTTGGACTATTTGGAAAATTCAGGTACTGTTGAAGGGTGGAAACAAAGTTGGATGGTTTGAACCTGTGTTTGAGGTGGTTAAAATATTGTTCAGAACGTAATTTTGTTTGGAGAAATGTTTGCATTCACTTCTGTTGTACACAGTTTGTTTGTTGCCTTCAATTAAGGCACAGAGCATGTTGTAGTGGTTGTATTTCTTCCAGTATTCCATCAGGAGAGTATACCTTGAGTAGGATGCCTTGTGACTAACATGGATGGAGATTCAATTAAGAGCGGATGCATGTCACAGATGATTGCTTTCAATGCTTTGTATCCATGTCCATCATGGAGTTTGATGATGTGTTGGAATTTGTCCTTGGAGGCGAAAACAGTGTGAAGGACATCCCAGATGATTCACCAACCAGTTGATATTTTTGTTTCAAAGGTGGGATAAAGGTAATTGTGATGATCCATGCCTAGGGTGAAGCCATGTGGGTGGTTGCATTTATGACAAAAGCAAGGATAAGGATGGCAATATTTACCAAAGCGAGAACAATGAGCTGTGAAGCACATGTACCAATTGTTGAGTTTGTATGCTGTGTCGCCTGTAATGTTGTTGACTGTAGTTTGGAAGTTCTTTTCACTTTGTGGTCCAAGATCGACAAGGACAAAGTAAGAGCTGTCACAAGTAACAAAACCAGACAAATAGGTTTTGGGGGTCTCAATGGTATTGGCAAAGTGTAGGCGGTTGTGCTGAAGTGTCAAGAATATCAGTCAGCGTATCAGTAGTATGATATCTGTACTGCATTGCATTGAGCTTGTAGCAATTGTTGACTTGAGTGGGATAGTTCAAAGGAACAGATGGAGTGATGCTCAAACTGTAGGTCTTTGCTTTTGGACAAGCAAGTTGCGCAATCATCATATTTTTGTTGACGTAGAATGCAGGTGTTTGCATCACAAAGGCAGACAATGTTGGAGTCAACTTGTGGTGGTGGAGGTGGGTTATTAGTTCCAGCCTGCATTGGGGGTGGAAAGGGGCTTTCCCCAAAGATTCCAAAGTTGTAAATATCCTTAGTGGGTTGTCTGTCGTCAACGAAAACAGGGGACCAGTTGATGCTAAGGATAAGGGTGTTTTTGTAGTCAGATTTGTTAACAAAGTTCAATGCACAGGTAAGAATCTGAATGTCATCACAAAGTTGTATACAAATGTCTTTGGCGGTGGTAACCATAAAGTAGGTTTTGTTTTTGATGATATTGTTAATACAAGATATGTTGGTGGTATTGATCTTGCATTGCTTGATGTGGTTGCTAACGTCTGTCTTGATGGTATGGATGGTACAGAAGAGGTGGACTTGGTCTTCGATTGCATCTCCTTTGTTGTTAAGGTAGTTTTCAAAGTTGATTGACATGTGGTAGGCATCCTCCATTTCGTCAGTTTGTTTGGGGTAGACGTGTTGATTGAGGAAGATAACGTCAATGTACTCAATCTTTGGATAGACGGAGCAGGATGAGTTGTTTCTGGTCGCTGGAATGTTGAAAAGTTGGCTTGAAGTTTGAGAGTCTTAGTTGGGAAGACATTTGGTAATAAAAGATGTTTTGATTTGGATCAAAATATGTTTCATGGGACATTTGGCATAAGGAGATACTTTTTGTTTGGGTGTAAAAGTATCAGTTTTCATTAGAAGCTTTGAAAGGTTCTTGTTGGAGGGAAGTTTTATGGCAACATGTGTTGGTCTTGTAGAGTTAGACAGCTTTTGGGATGGGAATAAAAGATAGGGGGGGGGGGGCATGCACGGTTGCATGTATGGGAATTCTTTTTAATGCACAAGTGGCAGTAAAAAAATTAGAGTGTGATTGTTAATGCCAAAAGTGGGAGTAAAAAAATTAGAGTGTGATTGTTAATGCCGAATGTGTTCCAGAAATTAAGAATGTGGTCTTGTCGTAAGATTTTAATTTCAAAACAGTGAGTATTGGGCATCGGCAATGGCGAGTGTGTCAAAACAGGTGTTTTGTTGTTGAAACAGATGTTTCATTTATGCCATGCAACAGTGACAATGTGTGTTTGACGTTGTTGTTGTATGCGTGATTAGGTTTGTTGTTCAAAGGTGTATGAACGGATGATAGTTTGGTAGAGTTGTGTGATGAGGAGAGAGCATGACTAAAAAATGATCACCATGGTGGTGATAAATTTTTATTGGAAGGGTGTCATAACCTGTGGGAGTGACTATCTAATAGTGATGTAAATCTTGTGCTAGAAGAAAAGTGAGTCGATGCTCTTATCAAGGATTGACAAGACTGCTGCTCAGAATGGAGATCGAATGATGTGTGAATCGAATGAGTCAAGTCATTCCTGCTAGTGAATCAACTGAGTCATGTTGATTGTATGGATCCATAGGATTGAGTGAATCATATATGTATGGTGTGTATGAATCATATATACTTTTCATAGTTATGTGTCATATATATGAATCATACCCACCATCTGATATCCTACAGACAGCACGCCACCAGCCAGGTAGAAATGTACACAAAAAAGTTTTGATACTACTAGTAAATATGAGGGGTGCGAAAATATGTGTGATTACTAAAAATACAGTAGTAGTAGGGTACACCAGTAAAACAATGGTAAAAAATACATGTGTATCATTTTGCAGATACCGTACGGTACCAGATAATTCGTAATAAAATTACCCCTAAAATTAACAATTTTTGACCCCTCACTACCTGTAACTTCCGCAGACTAGTTCTAAGCATAAGCGGACAAAGCATCCTTAAGCATCCCAATGACCTGCTGGTTTTTTTTTAAGTCGTAGTAATTGTATCATCTTGGTCTGGGCGCTTAGTCCGGTGGTCTCAAGTTGTTTTCTGATAGAGTTCTGGCCTATTTTCTAACCAGCAGCCAGTCTCTACTGGCCAAATTTGGCCATACCAGCTGTTAATGGAGAACCGGGTCCCCCTTGGCCCCTAATCATGTTAGTAGTACAATGACACACAGCACTCTCCTTAACAACACTATGACCGAGCATATCGTCCCCAAAGGGGATCTCATTTGAGCTGGTTCTTGAGCACTTTTAATGGCCTCATAAACACTGTTTGTGGTCAAAAAGTGACCAAAAACTCGTAGATCTATGTAGGATCAGTTCTAAATAGTAGTACTGGGCTTCAAAATTAACAGTGATTTTACTGGTAATAATTTTGGCGTTTTGAGTAGAATGCCTTTTTTCTATGTAGGGCGTGGTAGGCTTTTTACGGTTAACGCACTTTACGTCGAATTAACTGGTACTCGTTCGTACGTACGGTACGGACCACTGAAAGCCTGCAGCGAAGACACAGGAGAGGCGAGGCGCAGCGAGGCCGAAAAGAACCCCTGTGGTTTGGGAACCCTTTCCGCGAGATCGGTCACGAGATCGGTTCCTCGCTCGCGGCAAGAGAACGAAAGGGACAGCCGCCGGGAATACAACCGAAACCGACCGAGGGCGAGCGACCCGACGACGGCGACCACCCGGGAGCAAAACCAACACCAACGCCAACGCCAACGCCAAAACCAACGCCAAAACCACCGCACGACACAACACGACAACCCGACAACCCGACAACACACGAGACTCGCTCCAAACACGGGATCTGCGTCCAGAGCCGAGCCCAGCCCAGCCCAGCCCAGCCCAGCCCAGCCCTGCCCTGTCTTTCGTCGACGCCGACATTGAACCGCGTGACCGCTCCTTGGAGGGCGCACACAAAGACACCCAGTCACACTCACTCACTCACTCACCCAGTCACACGCCGGGCCAGAGGCCAACCCCCATCGCCATGCCCCGGAAGCCATCCCGCGCCGGGCCCCGGGGCCGGAGCCTCCTGGCGGTGGCACTCGCGGTGCTCGTGGCGGTTTCGGTGCACGGCGGGGCCAGCATGCCCGCGGCGGCGGCCTCGGTGGCGGGGGAGCTTTTGGATGCGGACGAGCACGAGCCACAAGCGCAAACGCAGGCACAAACGCAGGCACAAACGCAGGCACAGCCACAAGCACAACCACAAGCACGGTCACAAGCACGGCCACAAGCACAACCTCCCGCCGAGCCCGGTGGGAGCGATTCCGGAAGAGTCGCTTCGGCTGCTTCCGCCGCCGTTTCCCCGGCCCCCTCGGTAGCCGAGATCTTCCGAAGCGCCCGGCGCAGGGCCCTGGGGGGAGGCCTGCCGGGGGCGGCCGCCGGCGTCGTGCAGGTGCTCGCCCTCATGTGGCTGAGGACCACGATCAACTACCAGTGCCGGTACGGTGGGAGCTTTGGCCACGCCCTCTCCCTGCTCTACCGCGACGGGGGCGTCCGCCGCTTCTACCGGGGCATCGGCTTTGCCCTCCTGCAGGCCCCCCTGACGCGCTTTGTCGCGACGGCCTCCAACGACGGGGTCCTGGCACTGCTGGCCGGCCTGCCGCAGACCAGGGACTGGACGCCGGCGGTGACGACCGTCTTTGCCTCGCTCACCGTCGGGGCCTTTCGGATCCTCCTCATGCCCATTGACACCTGCAAGACGGTCCTTCAGGTAGACTCGAGGGAGGGCTTTCGCGCCCTGGTGAGGCGGGTCCGGGCGGGCAGGGTCGGGGCCCTCTACCAGGGGGCCCTGGCCACCGCCGTCAGCTCGGCGATCGGCCACTACCCCTGGTTTGTCATCTTCAACGCCCTGTCGTCGGCCGAGTGGCTTGAGGCCCTCGTGTCCTCCGGCCTCCTCCGGAACGCGGGCATCGGCCTGGTGGCGAGCGTAGTCAGCGACACGGTCGTCAACGTCTTTCGGGTCATCAAGACCACCAAGCAGAGCATCGGCTCCCGGCACGACTTTTCCTACGGGGACACGATCAAGGTCATCCTCGCCGCGGACGGCTGGAAGGGCCTCTTCGGGAGGGGCCTGCGGACCCGGGTCCTCGCCAACGCGGTCCAGTCCGTCCTCTTCACGGTCGTCTGGAGGGGCCTGGCAGACCGGTGGGGGACCGCCGGCGGGGGCAGAAGCACAGAAACGGCGGGGGKGAGCCCCAGGGCCACACCGCGCCGCGGGGGGGTCCGGAAGAACAAGGGCAAACACAACGGCAAGCCCGAAGCCACCGGGCGCGAGACGAGGGCCGAAGGAGAAGAACAAACCGCACGGTGAGGAGGAACGACGGCGGGCCGGGGAAAGGACGGACGAACGAACGAACGAACGGGTTGCGACACGATGCGATGCGACTAATTCTACTAGCAACAAGAGCCCAGCGGCATTGCACAACCCTATGCGGTTTAGTACCATGTCATGCCACTCGTAGTGTTTTCTTTTGTGTTGTGTTGTTTTGTGTTGTTTTGTTTTTTCGTTGCCACCGGAGCCGAGCGAAACCGAGCGGATCCGTCCGGACCACGCCCGAATCGGCACCGGCCCGGAGGCGGTGTCTCGGATCGAGGCATGCCCTGCATCCCGCGGGTGGTTTGCGATGACATTCCCCGGGAACAGATCGGATGCCATGCCATGCCATGCCGTGGCATCCGGCCCGCCTCTCTCCGGCTTCGGCGTCGCGGCGGCGGAGCACGCTGCGCTGCCCTTGCTGGCTCCGCCGCACGGCGAAACAACGACGCGTCATTCCAGACACCGCCTCCGGGTCGGTACCCTCCGGGCCCGATCCGTTCTGGCTCGTTTCCTTCGTTTTGCTTCTTTTGTTCCATTCCGCTCGCACAGCACAGCACCGCATCCGTTCCACCGGCCGGCAAACGAGCGCGAACCAGCGGTTTCGTTCGAAGCGGCCGGGAGGAATCGAACCGATCCGGCCCGGCCTAGAGCTCATCGGAGCCTCCCTCCGCCGGGGCGGCCGTCAGCTGCCCGAGGATCTTCTGTCTCTTGCGGAGCCACTTCTCGAGGTCGGGGGCCATGCTCGATCCCTCCATCGATTCCAGCCGCTCGAGCTCCGACACAAGCTCCGCGCCGGTCCTCTCGCTCATCTTGGCAATGTACCCGGCCTCCCTCTCGTCGCAGCCCTCCCCGCTGGGGGCCCTGCACCGAAAGGTCTTCCCGTAGCCCTCCACGTATTCGACCATGTAGTCCTCGTTCCCGAGCTCCTGGCACATCGGGCCGTCCGTCTTCTTGGCGTAGGCGCCGCCCGCAATGCCGGTTTCCCGGTTGAAATAGCGCACCGTGGGCCAGCCCCCCGCCCCGGGGGAGTAGGGCTCCCCGTTCGGACCCTCCCGAATGGGCTCGTCGCTGAGGTTGACGTCCATAAAGGCCACGTCGGGAGACCCCGCGAAGAGCTTCGTCACCGCATTCCAGGCCGGAGCCTGCTTTCGTCATCAGCCTCAGCCCTTTCGGTCGAACCAAGAACCAGCCGTGCAAAACACGCACCCATTCGCGGTGGGGGCAAACCCAGAAACAAAAGCAGAAGACCGGTGAGAAGAAGGCCCCCAAACAAAACAAAATTCTTGGCGTCCCGTGTCGTGCACCGCATCGGTCGCCGGAGAACCGGCTACCCCACGCGCTCTCTTATCCTACCTCGGAGGCAATGAACCGAACAAAGACGGTTTTCCCGTTGTCGATTTCGTTCTGGATCGAATCGGCGTAATTGCCGGTGGTGAGCTTTGTGGAGTAGTTCCAATGGTCGTCCGGGTATATGGCGGTGACCGCAGCGGGCCCTGCGACAAGGCCCAAGGACAGCAGAAGCATTCTAGCCGAGAACATCATTCTCGTAGTTGGTCTTGCGGTTGGTGAATCAATCGATCAATCGCTGGTTTGGTGTTGCACTTCCTACGGAACGCAGGTTGTGTGTGCGACAGGGAATCAAGGAATCCGGCTCTTTGGTTCACCCGCAGGCAGGAAGAGTGCGTGGGGTGCGTCTGGGGTGCTTATGGTAGTACCGGTAGGTGTATGTACTCGTGCCTTCGTCGTCCGTAGCGCTAGCTACGGACCACTAATTGTTCCGATGCCGCAGCGTATCCGACCGTATCGTAACCGTTGAGCAGCTCAACATTTCCATGTACTCACCCTCAAGTGGTTACTGGGCGGTTACAAAAAACAAACACTAACAAACGGTAGTTATTTTTTGCCTAAATACACGCACCCCAACATGGTACAAACCGCGCAGAATGAATTTTGTAACCAAAAATTGTAACCAAACCCTTCCTTAAGGAGAGCCTATATTTTCTCCACGATAACACTAGTAATCTGGTTACAAAAAAAGGGTCTGGTTACAAAGAAAACAGGCGCACTGGTGGTTCCCTTGTGCGCACATGTACCAAGAACATGTACCACATGTAACAAGCAGCGCGCCCAACCTCATTCAACAGCTAATGTCTTGGTTGCTCACAATTTTCAGTACTGATTAGTATTATTTGTAGTACAAAGTACCAATGCACGGTAAAAATCGTCACCAGTTTTCCATGAAAACTGATCTTGATTGCTATTCTAGTACAAAGCTCACGTAGAAATACCGTAGAAATATCGAAAAACACACTATTTGCAGGGGGGAACAAGCAAAACACAAAAAAAGCAACACTATCGATCCACCACTATGAGGACCAGAAGCAACAAGTCAACCACACCTCCAGCACAGAAGCCTCTTGCGAAGAAGAAGGAGGAGGAGGAGGACAGCAGCGTCGACTGTGGCGCGTGGCCAGAAAGCAGGGAGAGCTTGAGAGAAATATCTTAGTACAGTGCTCAAAAGAGAAACAAGCTGTTCTCCCAGCAAGCAGAAGATCCAGCCTTTAAGGGGATTGGTGCTGAGATAAGTTGGACGACAGAAGAAAACACCTGTTGTGGAAAGAAGGTGACAGCACCGGCGCCCAGTCAAACAAGGGCACCACCAGCAACAAGAACAAGAATCCAGTTGGCGCCAGAAGAAGCAGGAACAGCAGCTACAACAAAACCAAGAAGAGTATCTCTTGATCAAGCAGACAAGACGACAAATACACCAGCTCAAACGCGAAGACCACCAATCCATAATCCGTACAGCACAGCAGCAAACAACAAGAACAAGAACAAGAAATGCATTGCTGTATCCACCAAGACTACAAACAAGAAGAAGGTGCCAGCAAAAAAGAAACCGACAACGCCACCAGCAGTAACTGCCACTGTCATCAACAAACAAAGCGCCGACTCTACTAGTAGTACAAAGGCCACTAGTACTACTAGTGAACAAGCAAAGTTTGAATATGCAAAGATGCTTATAAACAATCCAAACGCGTTCAACACTTTGGGGAGTGATGAGTTTGCAACTGCGGAATCAAGCAGCAAGGGATATGCAGCAAAAAGGAAAAGCTGCCTTACGAGGTTCGTGAAGACAATACTCGATGCTACAAATCCAGCCACAAACAAACCTGGAGACAAAGTGATGTATGAGATGTTCACCAAGAAGGTTCCTATGAATGATGGATTGACTGGAGATTACTTATTCTATCAGAGTGTGGGTGGCAAGCCAGATGCCCTCAAGAAGACCCTCATGAATCAAGCCCTAATGCAAAGACTGGGGATCCTCTGGATACAAACACTCATTCAGTATATGTCCGCATACTGTTTTCAGCTTTCCACAAGAAGGGGATCCAGTTCAATGAGGCTGACTTCAAAGGAAAAGGCTTATTCCTTAGTGCCGTAAAGCTTGATTGGAACAAAAAGAGAGCTGCAGATCCAACGCTTGGAGCCAAGCAGACCAAGGCTTCCTTTGATGAGTACAGGGACTTAAAGTTTGCAAGCTTGCTTGAAATTGGTGTCTACAAGCCTTACGAGGACATGCAAGATCTCCTCAAGATAATGGCAATGGAGCTTGGTCGACAGTTCAGCCTCAGGGGAAGGGATGAGATTGTCTTTCTTCAATGGGGATGGATGAAGCTCAGACAGTTCCCCTGTGGCAACATGGAGGGTGATTGATACATAACCATTGCCCCCGGGGAGGGTTTGACAAGGGGAACCAGCTCAGCTTGAGCAATCCGACGGCCGGTGAACAAGATGTTCCCAACAGTGGTGGAGGACAAGACCAATCCTTACTGTATCATCAAGCTGATCAACTTCTATAGACAGCGATGCCATCCAGATCAAAAGAGCAACAGATCCAAGGATGATCCGTAGTACTTCAAGGCTGGGATGCCGGTGGGACAGGATGCCATAAGGAAGTGGGTGAAGGAAATTGCCACAGCAGCTGGATACAAGGATGCAGAGAAGTATACTCCTCATGACAATCGTCACAGATGCTGTACTGTGTTAGCATCTGATGCAAACATCCCTGAGAAACTTAAGATGAATCATCTTTGACACAAGAGTGCCAAGTCATCTCAAGTGTATGACCATCTGACCTCAACCACTCAGCAGAGAGTACAAAATACTCTTCATAATGGCTTCAATTATGCCAAGAAGAACCAGCAGAAGAAGGAGCCAAGCATGCCTGTTACTGTAATAGGAACAGCAACATTGAACCAAGTTGTTCAGAAGCAGTCAGAAGACACAAAGCAGCTCTCTTCCTCCCCAGGAACTGAGTTGAAAGTGGAACTTCTTGCAGAACTGAAGAAAGTGTCAGCAAAAAGAAAAGCTGAAGAATCTATCAATAAGTTGTTGTCTCCTATCAATAGCAATAACAAGAAACATCAACAAAGACTCGTCAACCTTGAAAAGAATCTTGATGAAGCAAAGAAAACAATTTTGGCCCTTACCAGTGAGTTACAGGGAAAAAGCTTGCAATCGGTATTTGTGAGGGGAAGGATGAGTTTAAGCAAAAAGAGCTTGAATTGGAGAAAGAAAAGACTGCTTTCCTTGAAAAGAAACTTGAGTCTGCTGCAAACAAGAAGCTGAAGCTTCAGCAGCAGCTAATTGCGACATTGCAGCAGCACCACTGACAATCGATGTGCTTCATTATGTAGCCTTGGAGCTGTCGACAAGCAGTTTCCTCTTGCTGTATTTACGTCACAAAAAGTGTTCGCAAGCAGTAGCGACCACTTGCAACCCTTTTTTTAAAAAATACACACCCTTTTTTTCACGCGCCCGCTGAACCTCACATATAGCATGGTTTTGGTTGCGTTCAAACATAAACTTTAAAAAAATCTCAATATTATATTTAACCTCATGAACTAGAAGAGGCACTATATGGCCAGAACCATAGCTTTTGGTAGAAAGAATGCTCCTAGCTGCTCCGAGGGGCAGCACATCCCTCCAAGGAGTGTTGATGGAAGTGCGACCAGGGGTTTTTCTGCTGGAATTAAAAGAATTGTTGTAGCTTGGTTTGAAGTAAACTGGAATAATTGACAGGAGGAGCCAGAGAAGTATCTGGCACAACTGGCTGCTTGTGTCGTTTCTTTTTGGAGTATGCGTCAAAGACCAGCCCATCTTGTGTGACGCTCTCCAGTGGTTGTTTACTATGAAGCAGTGGTGGAAAGTACTGGGTAATAGGGCGGGTGTTGGAGACCAAAGCACTTGTAGCTTGAGAGACACTTGCCAAAATTGTTTTCTCATAGACTCGATGGTAATATGAGAGCATGGAGGTAGGAGTCTGCAATAAGAAGGCTTCCATATCTGCTGGGAATAGGTGGGCGTGGGAAGGACATGTCTGAGATTTCAATGCAAATAAGGTTCAAACTTTCTTCACCACTCTCTGTTGATGCTTCTCTTGTTTCTGGGAAAGTGTGTACCCATGGAGGTCATAATGATAAATAAGAGGTAAGAAAGAATTACACAAGATATCTCCCCAACACAAGTGGGGAATAAGAGCCGGAATGGAGATCAAGATCAGTAAACCACTGGAGTGAAATGTGACCGGCAAACACATGGTGCCACCCAATCTTGCTCTGAAAATGGATAACTGGATGGAGGGATGGAGGATACTTTGCCAGTGTCTAGCCATTTGGTAAGACATATAGCAAGAGTGTCAATGGCAATTGGCTGGAAGCCAAGTGTGGAAATCCATTGTTGTAAAGATGTAATGGTCTGCCTTCGCCATCTGAGGCATGATAGATGAGAACATTGAAAGAGATGCTCACAATCTTCAGGCATCTGGCAGAGACAGCAAGTATCATGGGTTTGATAGTTCCACCTTTTGAGAACAGTGGCAGTGGGCAGAATATCATTGCAACATTTAGTGACCAAGACATTCCTGGAGATGCTGTGGATGGCAATGCTCAGGGACTTCCAGGCAATATTGGCAAGAACCTGTGGAGTCCACTGGTTCCTCTCTGTCAAGTATACGTGATATCGGGGGAGTAGACATGAATCTGTGAGAGCTCTCTTATATTGGCTGGTGACAGAGCGTGATTGGATCTGAAGCACTGCTGGACAGGAAGGTAAAACTGGTGTGATGAAATTTGGTTTAGTCATCTGAGCCTGAAAATCCCCAGCGTAACTATCAGCTTCTACATTCAGTTGGGCTGGCAGAGGAAGTTGATCAAAAGCAGTGTTGTCATCTTGGTGACCTTTCACCCAAGAGAAGGAGCAAGTGAT